TGAACCAAAAGAGGCATGATTTGTAAAGCCTGTAAATACTACTGTTACAAAGTCTGTAAATATTATTAAATATTCTCAACATAGACTACCAGACACCAACATATAATTAAAGAAATGAATCTATCTTTGCTGTAAGATGAGCACAGGACAGTTTTCTTTTCAAATGTATAAGATGGTGGTTGTGGTTCAGTCACTAAGTCGTGTCTGACTCTATGACCTCATTGACTGCAGCACACCAGGCTCCTCCGTCCTCCACTATCTCCTGGAGTTTGCTCAAGTTCACGTCCACTGAGGTGGTGATGACACAGGATTAAGAATGGATCTGTACTAGTTATTCTTTAAAAGTAAGTTGGCTGGGCTCTGGTTCTAAGGGAAATGCCATAAAGCCCGTGTTGCTGCCCCTGGAGAGCTTGAGGGGGTGGTTGGGCCTTGTCCTACCACAGTGGCCTGCTTGCCTGTTGGGGGGGAGGGCATTGCAGTGGCCCTCTCTCAGCCTCAGTATTTGGTAAACAGAAGCCCCAGTGAGAAGAAATTTGCCAAATTGGCTGGCTTCATGGGCATCATGAATAACATTCAGAAACAGTGATTTAAATTCACTACTCAACTATAGTTGAATCTACAGTCTACCCAGGGATTTATACCCAGGGTCAACTTGAAATCATGCTGGGAGAAACTGACTGCAGAACCTTGTTGACAAGCTACATAAATACAAAGAAAACATTGTGTGATGTGATACTTATGGTCCAGGAACAAAAGATACCTCCTCATCATGTTGTCTTTGTCCTTGTCCATGTCCTCATTTTTTTAAACTTAAAGCTCACAACTCACATGCTTGAATCAAAGACCTTTGAAATAGAACTCAAAGATGCTTGCTGCACCTGACATTATCAAATAACTTGTGGAATTTGCTTATACCATGAGAATTTCTGTGAAGAGCAACAATGTTCAGTCTTTGTTAGATGCAGCAAACTGGTACCAGACTGAACCTGTGAAGAAGATGTGTGTTAATTTCTTTTTTTGGCTGTGCTGGGTCTTTGTTGCTACATGTGGGCTTTCTCTAGTTGCAGCTAGTGGGAGCTACTCTTTAGCTGAGGTAAGGAGGGCTTCTCATTGCGATGGCTTCTCTTGTTGCACAGCATGGGCTCCAGGGTGCTTGGGCTTCAATAGTTGTGGCATGTGGGTTCAGAACTTGTAGCTTGCGGACTCCAGAACATGGGCTCAGTTACCCCACAGCATGTGGAATCATCCCCAAGCAAGGATCAAACCCATGTCCCCTGGATTGGCAGGCAGATTCTTAATCACTGGACCCCAGGGAAGTTTGTGTGTTGATTTTTGGAAAGAACAAGCTGATGCTTCAAACTGTCTCAGTTTAAGTGTGCTAGCAGAGTGTCTAGACTGTCCCGAATTGAAAGCAACAGCAGATGACTTTATTCATCAGCATTTTATTGAAACTGATGAATGTCTGCAACTTGATGCCAAGCGAGTTACACATCTCCTCAACCAGGACACTCTGACTGTGAGAGCAGACGATCAGGCTTCCCTGGCTCAAACAGTAAAGAATCCACCTGCAATGGTGAAGACCTGGGTTGGATCCCTGGGTTGGGAAGATCCCCTGGAGAAGGGCATGGCAACCCACTCCAGTATTCTTGTCTGGGGAATTCCATGGACAGAGGAGCCTGGCAGGTTATAGTCCATGCGGTCGCAAAGAGTGGGTCACAAATGAGTGACTAAGCACACAGCACACAGTCTGGTGGTTAAAATATGGTGAACCTAATCAACAGCCATTTATGGCTGACATCCTTGTTCTGGGCTTCCCTGGTAGCTCAGCTTGTAAAGAATCCACCTGCAATGCAGGAGACCCCAGTTCAATTCCTGGGTTGGGAAGATCTGCTGGAGAAGGGATAGGCTACCCACTCCAGTATTCTGGCCTGGAGAATTCCATGGACTGTAGAGTCCATGGGGTTGCAAAGAGTTGGACATGACTGAGTGACTCTCACTTATTCTTGTCAAAGTCAGGTTTCTACTTACAACAAAGAATTTACAGTACAAACTGAACCACTTATTCAAGATAATCCTGAATGCCTTAAGATGGTGATAAGTGGAATGAAGTATCATTTCCTGTCTCAAGAAAATTGAGAAGAACGGACAGAAGGCAAAAGGCCCAGAAGAAAGAAACATGACTACTGAATAGCCCCATTTGGAGGCTCCCAACCACAGTCTTGTAGATATTTTTTAACCCAAAGTTGAAAAGAGAAGCATGTTCTGCACAAGCCTGGAAATGAGCCTATAACCTCAAAATACTCTTTTGATGTCTTTGCTCTTATAAATTGCCCATACTTAATGCTCTTCTGTATACTCAACCCCCAGTTTTTAGACTTCTAGTGAAAACTTTAAGTAATCGAGGAAATAAATACCAATAAAAAAATCCTCATTTCATCAATTATTACTTATTCCGTACAGCTAATACCATTAGAATCCCATTATAATACTAATTAATGTTTCTATTAAAAGTATCAGCCTTGGATTTCCCTGGTGGTACAGCAGGTAAGAATCTGCCTGTCAATGCAGGGGACACAGGTTTGATTCCTGGTCCAGAAAGATCCCTCATGCTGTGAAGCAACTAAGCCTGTGCATCACAACTACTAAGCCCATGCTAGAGCCTGGGAGCCACAACTACTGAGCCTGTGTGCTGCAATGACTGAAGCCTACACATACTAGAGCCTGTGCTTCACAACAAAAGAAGCCACTGCAGTGAGAAGCATGTGCTCTGCAACCAAGAGTAGCCCCTGCTCGCTACAACTAGAAAAAACCCCCAAGAAAGCCCGGGCACAGCAACAAAGACCCAGCACAACCAAAATAAATAAACAAAAAGGTACCAACCTCTCCTTTCTTTTTGCTAAAAACTTCATCTTGAAATTTTTCACCATTTACTATTACTTGAATATTTTAATATGTTAGTTGTCTTTATTATTTTTAATATTAAAATAATTGGGGAAGCTAATTTTACTGTAATTATTAGTTACCTTGAATCTTCCAAGGTGAACATTATTTCATTATTCAATTCAAGTAGACTGCTTAATAATAAGTATTGTATAGCAATTGTTTCAAACTTCTTAAACTTAACATTTTCAGAGATGTTCAAATGGTTTTAACTATCATGCATGGAATCCATTTGTGCATGTCCGATAAGAGCCTAAAATGATTATTTTCACCGAACTGGTCTTCAGAGAGGACAATTTAAGCAATACAATTTAATTGAATTATCTAGAGTTAAGTCAATATCCTTATAAACAATTACCTTTAGATATTCCTTAGATATAGCTGGTGAGAGTCAGCAAATATTTGTATTAATTGCGAGTGAAAAATGATAAGAAAGAAAATCTTATTTTTTCTAGTAGATAAAGTAGTAGATAAAGAAATCTTGGGTTGTTATACTGAAGTGAAATGATACTGTTCCTGTCTTTGTCCTTTCAGGAAGCCTGCTGAGTCTCCTCTCCCCCACCTGCACCTGTTTTTAAAGTTTTCAAGTGCTTAATGATTACTAAAAGAGTTATTTATCTGAATCCAGTGCTCTGTTCTCTTAGTACTAGTGTTTTCAAATTGTGACATGGGAATGACTTATGATATTAATGCCTGAATAAAAGTTGACTTAGTTGAAAAAAATAAAAATAAAAACAAGGTACAACAGCTTTTAGTTCATGCTCAAAATGGAGTTATTCCCTCCTCTATGGACCCTTAGTACTTCCCATAGTTCATATATTTAAAAGTTTTGTACTCCTTCCTCCCAAATTAGACTTGAGCTCTCTGAAAGGGTTGTTTCTTATTCATCTTTACAGCATTAGAAACTGATGTCTGGCATATTGTTAGTGCTCAATTAATATTAATTGACTACATCAATGAATCAAAACATAGGGATATAAGAACAGGCAATGTTTATTTATTGAGAGCCCCCTGGTCAGTAAGGAGATTAAACCAGTCAATACTAAAGGAAATTAACCCTGAATATCCATTGGAAGGACTGATGCTGAAGTTGAAGCTCCAATACTTTGGCCACCTGATGCAAGAGTCACCTCATTGGAAAAAACCCTGATCCTGGGAAAGATGCAGGAGGAGAAGGGGGCAACAGAGTATAAGATGGCTAGATGGCATCATCGACTCAATGGACATGAGTCTGAGCAAACCGAGGAAGACTGTGAAGGACAAGGAAGCCTGGTGTCCATGGGATCCCAAAGAGTCAGATACGACTTAGTGGCTGAACAACAAAAACAATGGGAAAGTACTAAGGGTACATAGAGGAGGAAACAGTTCTCCAACAGGCAATATTTATTTAGGGCATCCCTGGCGGCTCAGGGGTAAAGAAGCCAATGCAGGAGATGCAGGCTCCACCCCTGGATCAGGAAGATCTCCTGGAGAAGGAAATGGCAACTCACTCCAGTATTCCTGCCTGGGAAATCCCATGGCCAGAGGAGCCTGGCTGGCTACAGTCCATGGGGTCACAAGAGTCTGACAGGATTTAGCGACTTAACAGCAACAATATTTACTTAATACTAATGCCAGACATCGCTGTTACATACTTGCCTTATCTCACTTAAATCTTGTAACAAGTATTAAACGTGAGGAAACTGATCCTCCTGAGGGTATAAGGTAATAGTTATTTGCCAGACTGCTCAGGTTCAGATTAACCTTGCTTAAGTCATGGACCTTCTTTATTAGTGGTGGTGGTATACTTTGACTTGCTGACCCGATTCAAGCATCCTGCACACTGCCTCAAAACCGCGTCACCCTCCTGTCCAAATTCTTATGGCTTGACTCTCAAGACTGAAAGATCCGGTGACCTTGTTAATACTGATACGCTTTGGAGCTAATGTTAGCTTTCATTCTGAGGTCAGTTGGCTGAGGAAAGGGATAAACAGCTGAACACACCCCTTATCACAGGCTAGTTCCTGACGAAAAAATCCTACCCTTCTGCCCATTTTCGCTGCCCGGCTACCCGGACTCACCGGCGCGGGTTGTAGGTCCGTCGATGGCCGAGGCACGCCTTCCCGCCCGCCGCGCAGGGCCCAGAGGGAGCGAAGTCCCGCGGTGCAGCTCCTCAGCATGGCTCCCAGAACTGAGGGGTGGCTCGCGCCAGCTGAGGTGAAGGCTGACACACACGCAGCTACCCACCCGCCAGCTCTTCCTCTTCAACTGAGGCGAGGTGAGGGCGGGGCCTGGCGCGCCGCTGGGCGGGGACACGGGTCTCGGAGGGGCCGTGGAAGGGAGGGGCCTGAAGGCTGGCTCGGCTTCGGGTAAAGCCTTTAGCTGTCCTTCTGCGCCGGAGCCCCTTCCGGGGAAACTGTCAAGACTTGTGGAGGCCACTGGAGCGAGGGGCGAGAGGCAAAAGCGGCCGCGCGGCCTGGGGAGGGCGAGGAGGCCAGAAGTGCGGGTCCGCGACTATGGCTCAGCCCCTCAGGCCCGGCACCTAAGCGCTGCTGGTGAGGATTCGCTGGTCTTTTCCTCCCCTCTTGCTAGAGGGCCAAATTCTGTGCTCTTTCCTAATAGTTCTCCCTCCCACCGCTGGTGGCGCTAGTGGTAAAGAACCCGCCTGCCAAAGCAGGAAGCGTAAGAGACGCACGTTCCATCCCTGGGTTGGGAAGATCTCCTGAAGGAGGGCAAGGCAACACACTCCAATATTCTTGCCTGGAGAAAGAATCCCATGGACAGAGGAGCCTGGTGGGCTACAGTCCATGGGGGCGCAAAAGAGTTGGACACGACTGAAGCGACTTAGCACTGCACTGCCGACAGCAGACTTAAGCCCTCAGGTGGGTAGGAGCGCACACAGAAGATTGTAGGAGTAGAATATTTTTCTTGGAGATCACCCTCCCCGGCCCACCCCCCCCCCCCCCGCCCACACACACACACCCGTGCACACACATCTTTAAGGGAGCAGAGATAAAAAAGTCTTTAAGTCTGACTTTTTAAAAAATAGAAATTGTAGCAACACCTGAAGGATGCAGTCATCTCAGCTCTGGAGACATAACTGAGCTCAAAGTCCAGTGCACCACCTAACACCGTGGGTGGGTTTATATTTAGTGACTCAGTCTTATCTGACTCTTTGTGACCCCTGAAGACTGTAGCCTGCCAGGCTCCTCTGCCCATGAAATTTTCCAGGCAAGAATACCAGAGTGGGTTGCCATTTCCTCCTCCAGGGGATCTTCTTGACCAAGGGATCCAGTTGGGTCTCCTGTGTCCCCTGTATTACAGGTGGATTCTTTACCCGCCAAGCCAAGGGGGAAGCCCTGTAACACTTTGCATACTTTTTAACTGTACCTGGCCTCTTATTTCTTCACTGTTGTATTAAAAAGAATATATCAAGTTTTACTTGTCACCAGGACCTTCTCCTTCAGTAGGAGTCACTTAACTTAGAAGTTATCTTAGGTTACCTTGTATCCTGCTCACAGAGAAAATGACCTCAGGCTAGTAATGCGTTGAAACGGGGCTTGTACAGACTCGTTAAAATGGTAAGAATTTGGCTAGCCAATTCTTAAACACTTCCATTATTTAAAATGTAAATTATAAACTTACAGTTAATAAGTTGTATTTAAAAAATGAAGGTATTGTTACAACACCCCTGAGTCAGTCCCCAATAAAGGTCCTTCTGCCTGGTATCTTGGAGCCAGTAGGAGATCAAGTCTGGTTCAGAACCAAAGGAAATAAAAAAATGAAGAGGTGTGAGCTCCAGCTCTAGAGTACTTGGGTCTTCCTCGTAGGCGTTTGGCCTGGCTGTTTCATAGGGTTTTTGTGAGCAGGGAGGGGGCGGGTTCTTGGCAAGCACCTCCCCCCACTTTTGCTGCTCAAACTTTCAGAAGGCAATGTGGGGGAGGGGCAGCATATCTGCCCTGGGCCTGATAGCTATCTTGAATTGCAATATTGCTTGCAGTGCTTCTGAATATGGTTCCTGGAGCTGAGGTGTGGGGGCACAGCCTTTTTGCACTAGGAACTCTGGTCTGAAGGGCCTGTTGTAAAATCTCTGCACACCGGCACCCTGTGAGCAACTGAAACTAGACTAAGCATAAAGGAAAAGAAAAATGTTAGATTTTATTTTACTACCCAGATTTTATTTCCTGGGAATTGTTCATGGGCTTTGCTGGTGACAGTATTAGATACTAAAAACTGTTTATGTTCTTGAAGTATATTTCATCACTGGCTACAGTTTTAAGTGGAAGTTGACTGCCTTTTCATAGCCACAAAAAATTATAAGTGCTGTTCTAATTCTGGTGTATGAAACTTCTTTTTAAATATTTCTTTAGGAATATAATGAAATACCAACAATAGCTTGATTTATGATCTGTAATAAATTATTAGTTCTTTTAGAATGTAAAAAACAAAACTGCTGAATTATTTTTACTACATTTTGCTGTTGTATGTGTTCTTGAGGTTATTTATCTCTGTCGCATTTGTATGGTGGGAATACAGGCACCTCTTTCAAACATTGCATTTGGTCACATCACAGTGGTAGCTTAAAACTGACTGACTGGGAGTATTCATTCAGATATTGCAACTGAGGGCTTTCCTTTCTTACCTTATTAAATATTTACCAATATACCAGTCTTAGTTTTAAGTCTTAAGGGGTACTAGAATTGCTTACCCCCAGGACATCCATATACAAAGTTTTTCTGCCAACCCAACTCTGTAACTACTTACACAGTAAAGGTGGGACTGGAGGAATCATCAGGAGAGATTTATCAGAGATAAACAAACTTGGCTTTGGGTTTGGGTCTAAGTTCAGAGATCCTCAGTCTACTTTTTTTGTGTGTGTGAGCAATTAGTATTTTTATTTAAAATATCTTTATATAAAAATCAGATGTTTTGCTTGATTGGGGCTTCTCAGGTGACTTAGTGATAAAGAATCCACCTGCCAATGCAGGAGACTAGGGTTCAATCCCTGGGTTGTGAAGATCCTCTGAAGGAAATGGCAACCCACTCCAGTATTCCTGTCTGGGCAATCCCGTGGTCAGAGGAGCGAGGTGGGCTACAGTCCATGGGGTCACAAAAGAGTTGGACATGACTGAGTGACTTAACAACAACAACAGTTTTCCTTGATTATGTGAACTTCTCCATCAGTTTCTCAGTAGGAAAGAATGCCCAGTATTTTAAACCCACAATATTAACTGGGGGTAAAGGTATACCATTCTGAGACAGAGGAAATTTGAGAAATAAAACGTGTAAGAATGACTCAAACTGAAGATGAGTCAGCATAATGTTGATGTTCTATAATTTAAGCAGACTGCCTAAGATGTCTCCTTTTCAATACAGTACTCCAGTTTCCTGAGGGCATGGATGGTGCCAAATTGTCTGGTTAATTGTAGTACTTCTTTTAATAACTCACACAAATTGCTTCAATACTTGTTTGGCAGCAAGAGCCCAAAGTATCCTATTGTCTTTCCACATGGTACCTGCAGATAGAGGCACATTATAAATCAAACCCATAAATCAAGATGACTTCTCTTAATAAATAAGAAGGTAGTTTATACAGATAACTTAAAAGTGTGTATATATATATATATATATATATATATATATAAATTACAGTGTAGGTAGAATCCAAAAAAACCCTAAATAGACTCCAGCTCTGCTAAGATTGTAAAGGCACCAACAGCTCTCCTAGATCAGTTACACTCAGTGTAACTTCTGCATATGTCAGATAGTAGAGAAGATCAGTCCTGGGTGTTCATTGGAAGGACTGATGCTGAAGCTGAGACTCCAGTACTTTGGCCACCTCATGCGAAGAGTTGACTCATTGGAAGAGACCCTGATGCTGGGAGGGATTGGGGGCAGGAGGAGAAGGGGACGACAGAGGATGAGATGGCTGGATGGCATCACCGACTTGATGGACATGAGTTTGGGTAAGCTCCAGGAGTTGGTGATGGACAGGGAGGCCTGGCGTGCTGCGATTCATGGGGTCGCAAGGAATCAGACACGACTGAGCGACTGAACTGACTGACTGAGCAATGTATTTGGCCGTCACCCACACTCTGACTTAGAGCCTTCACCAGGTATTTTTCCGAGGTATTCATGTTGACAACACATATGAAATGTCTGGCCAAGTTTGGAGGGAGATGGGGGAGGTGACAATCTAGCAATAGAACTGGTAGCCTGTGGGTATGGAAAAGTTTTTCTTTGGTGTTTGTGTGGCTAACATAAAGAATATATTTTCTTCCTTGTTTTTGATAGAACTGTAATGAAATAAGCCAACTGTATGAAACTTAATAGTATTTTCACCATTCTCCTTTAATATTGTAAGCAGCTTTATTGAGGTTAAATGGGGACATAAAATAGATCCCATGTATTTAAAGTGTACAAGTTGTAAATTTTGATACACATATATACCTATGAGGGCTTCCCAGGTGGCCCAGGGAAAGAACCCACCTGGTGATGCAGGAGACATAAGAGACATGGGTTCAGTCCCTGGTTGGGAAGATCTCTTGGAGGAGAGCATGGCAACCCACTCAGTATTCTTGCCTAGGGAATCACATGGACAGAGGCGCCTGGCAGGCTGTGGTCCGTAGGGTCACACAAGAGTTTGACATGACTGAAGAGACTTAACATGTACGAACACATACACCTACAGAACCATCACTGCAATCAAGATAATGAGCCTATCTTGCACCCACAAGTTTCCTCCTCATGTCCTTTGTAAACTCTTCCTCCTACCCTCTAAGTGAACACCGATCTGCTGTCACTTTAGTTTGCATTTTTTCAAGTTTTAAATAGAATCATATAGTATATACTCTTTTTTTTTTGAGATTCATCCATGTTGTTGCTTGTATCAATAATTCATTCTCTTTTATTGAATAGTATTTCATTGTTTGGATGTACCACAGTTTTCCCATTCACTTGTCAATGACCATTTAGGTAGTTTCCAGTGTTTCTCTATTACAAATAAAACTGCTCTGAGCACAGGCCTTTATATGAATAAATGCATTCTTTTCTCAATTCAGTTGTCCTTGCTCCTGGATCAAAAAATTGATTATCTTTTTTTTTTTCCACACCAGAAAACTTGTGGAATCTTAGTTCCCTGACCAGGGATTGTACCCTTGCCCTCTACAGTAAAAGCATG